GAGCACATGGACCTACAGAGGTGCTAAAAGCTTGCAATGCCTTTGGTACCTGGGGCAGTGCGAAACCATGTTGGGTGCAGTACAGTTACAAACGGAGAGGGTGTCAATCAATCGATCGATCAATCAATCATTCAACTTTTATTTATGATTGAGAAATGTGGGAGTAACGGAAAATACCTTCACACTCAACACCTTCGAGTGAAAAGAAAAAAGAACAAGGCAGTATAACTTTCTGGAGTATAAGAGAAGTGCATGAGGGACCGTGTTCCTGTCTCAGCCTGGCTTCTAATTTCTATGCGTGCACATGCATGTATAGAGCGAGGAAAGGCTTTTGTTCTGTTCCTGTACCAGCAATTTGTTTTTTTTGTATTTTTACTTTGTGATGTTTCCTCTCATATAGTCTTTGTTGTTGCTGTTTCTTTTTTAGTCGTTTTTTTTTTTCATTTTCTATTTCTTGCCGCAGCCATGTACACGCGCCACGTGAAAAAAAGAACAGGGGACCGACTGTATATCTCCTCGAAGTGAACACAGCCCTCACGTCGTGTTGGTCACTCCTCTTCATTTGCTCCGCCTGCGACGAGCTCGATTTCGCTGCAAACCTATCATTCTTCATTGCTCTCACTTTCCTGCTTGGTAGCACAGCACTCACTGCTCGAGCTTCTCGGAGCGCATGTGATATCCCTGTTATTGTTTCCCATCTCTTTTTCTCTCGTCTATATGCGAGCGAATTCCATGTGTGTCCTAATTTGGTAGCGCACCTGTACAGCGTCATTACAAGAACTGGAACATGGTGCTTACCCATTTACTCTGGAAGCGATACCCAGGCCCACATACTGTGTTTTTTTTTTTCCTTCCACAAGGTTTACACCACTACAATATAACAAAATATTGCTACGTGAGCTGTTCTTCTGAATGAGCGCAACAATCATCCACTATGTTTATCGCTCTTAACATATACGGAATACCCGAAGTGGCCATTGAAAGGACAGGAATTGGGGAAATGGGGGTAGTAAATAATGGCACGATTACCTGCCAATTTGAAAGGTATGCACCTATATAGTTCGTCAACCGCTTCAGTGGAGCACAAGAACAACAAGAGAGAAGGCTGGAAGGTTAACCAGGCACATGCCCGATTTGCTACCCATAGACTGAGGGAATGGGAAGGGGGAGTATAAAGATGAGAGGAGGAGGAAAAAGAAGAGAAAGAGACAAAAAAATTCAAAGTCAATGAGTTGACGCGTATGCAGCGGCGGCGCTACACAAAAGCAAAGGCGTTCACATAGGCCCGTAGACCTCAAAAAGCTCAAGAGGGCTTCAACTGTATTCTGAGCCGATAAAAGACGAGAACAGTGCTCCAGTAGCATCTGTACAGAGAGTGGCCGATCGTCCAACTGTCGCAACGCGTCAGAAAGTTCAGCTTCGAAATACCTACGATCAGTTCATCCACGAATAACAGACTTGAGGACACTACTACATTTACAGCTATATTGGCGCGCTGTTGTGGCGTGCAGTGCGGCGGAAATAGCAAGCAACAGTTCCCAAACGGCCTTTGCGGAAAGGTATTCGAAGCAGAAATGTAGTTCTTGTGGTCCAACACATTGCCAGTCCGAATAATTTAGCAAAATGTAAGAAAAAGGAAGCGTAAAATGGAATGTGCCTTGTTTAGTTATATTACATGCTGATGAATACAGTCTCGGTCTGTTCTTGATATGTCCTACTTGCATCAGTAATTGTGGCAGTTGTACCACTGGCGCATAAGCACGCATTCTTTCTTCTGTGTGAATGTATCTGCCTTCTACGTTCGTCTCCTGCCTCCACCGTGCTGTCCTTAAAATTTCCGCACGTCGGTACTGTACGCCAGACGAGTGGCGGGGAACAAAGGCAGTTTATTCAGTAATGCAGCCGAGTATATAAGGAGGATTGTGATAAGCGGATCGAGTGTTGCACATGCGGGTTGGTTGCGGTGCAAGCGTTACTACAGGTACCTCGAAAACTGGGAAAAAGAAGTTGGATTGTCGGGTTGCCTTTCGTATTCTTTTTTTCTTTCTTACGTAGCTTACTAGTTGCGTCGATGTCCATCGAGGGCAACAATGTGCTTATAATCACAAAATCGCTTACATTTTTTTTCACTTAGTCGAATTACAGCTATTTTTTACGGAATTAAAAGGTCTTGAACCATTCATCCGCCTTTGTGAAATAATGCATTCTACGAACAGGAAACACTGCAGTGAACAGTTTTGCCAAACTGAGTAGCCGTGAGCGGCTTATGAAGTTTACGTGTCAAAAACGAATTTGCCACTTCTTCCAGTGCTCTGTCACTATACAGAGTTTTCACTCACTCCAGTAGGCGCCGCGCAAGCTGCGTGAAGTCTAAGAGCATACTGCTGCTGTTGGCTGGGAGCCGACATTAAGGAGGAGCGTCGTTTAGATCAGCTGTGCTTCTTGCCATGGAGTGTCGCCACGTTTCGGTGCAACGCTCTGTAGTGTCCAAAAATTACACAATAACAACGCTTGCGTGCACACGAATCACAAAAGAAGTAACCAATCGCCTTTGGCGACGCGCGCTGAAAGTCGCGATGCGCACTGACGCAGTGTCTTTTGCCCGTGTCATCTATGCCTGAATAGCTTCCAGTGGTTTAAGACTCCTTTAAGCTTTCCTTAATTTATTGTCAGCGCTTCTAAGGCCCGATTCTGTGCACTAATTTTTATACGTCGCGTGCTTATGCTGAGAGGTGAGGGTGAATACGCGCTTCTTTTCTACGTTATCCAGAAATGTCAACGCGGGCACTGTTATTCCACGGCGCCTTCTAACCGTATAACGCTTCTGTCTGCACCAGTCCGCATAGGAGCTCCATCACTGCCACTCAGTCAGGACCGCGACAGAAAGCAATAAGTCCTTTCAGCCGTTAGAACAATCAAGCAAACTATCAGAATAGTTTACAAAAAAAAAGCGTTCCAGCATTTCAAAAGTCGCGCCTAAGCGCGAGCTCTTCATACCGGGCATGGAGCCAACCACAGCATACAGCAGGACCACGGGCTCGGTATGATAAGGAGTTTGGGGCGGAAGAACAAGAGCGCGTGTAGAAAGGCTTCTCAGGGTTGATTATTTTTGTCCGGAGAGGCGAGAGACTAAGAGAGAGAATAGTAAGGGACCCGGGCCTATCCGGTAAGTCTAGAAGGTAAGCGTTCCAGCCGTTTCTCATTGTGGAGAAACCATTTCGCGACAGGCGAGGAGCGGCTCTCGTTTTTTGATGACGCATCCATGGACGACGAGCTCCATTCCGGCCCTGTCTGCTCACCACAATTCCTTACTTTTTTTTTTTTATTCTTTTCGCTACGGGCTACTGCGCAAGTGCCCGGGCTTCTTAACTTCCCTCTCACAGCCTCGTGTAGGCTCCACCCAGCTGCTTTTCCTTTCAACTATCTTTTATGTCTGCTTTTCCCGCCCTCCCATCGTGGGGTCCCCACGAAGCCCAGACGATTGGCCACTTCCGCGTTGTCATTCGATGCAGAGAGTTCGCTGTAGAACTTCGAAGCACTAAAATAAAGCGTACAGTACGTGCTAGGGTCATCAACAGTATGCTGGGTTGAAAGTATACCACACATTTTAAGAGAACTTGCATACTTTAACACGCACACTCATCGCCCAAACTTGTAATTTAGCTCCCACTTCTGAAACTGTCGCTTGCTTGCGACTTCAGACAGTTGACGATGTAGGCTAAGGCGTTTGCGGAAGCTACGACACGTGCTGATGTGGTTCCGGTAGCACCTAAAAAAAGGGGGGGGGGGGGGGGAATTTTTCCAGTTTTACCAGAGCTTGTAGTACAATCTTACCTATTCAAAGCAGAGGCACTTGTGGCAGCAATGTAGTGTCAATTGCCTCTGATTTTGTACTGCACTTCGTTCCGGTTCCTGATCTCCAATGTGAACGACACAGTCCCGGATATATGCACGCGACTGAGACGAAAACGATGCACAGAAGGCTGGAATCGGAGCTTCTGTTCAGACCAGTTGTAGCTTCTGCAGCGCTGCACCGCAATAGCGTGACGGAATGTGGGGAACTACAAACGGGGAGCAAAGTAAATGACGGCGCTCGAAGAGGGCTCCACCACGGCGGTGGCCGGAAATGAAATACGGCGGGCTGTCGGCAAAGCGTCTCTGCCGCCGCTGGAACAACACGCTGTCTTGGCGGGCGCCGCCTCGAGACGCCTTGTACGTTCCCTTCGTTGTGCCACCGGCATGACCTTGTCACGGTTTTATTCCGTTTGGCTGGTTTTAGCCGTTTCTATCTGCTTCCAAGGTGTGCCACCTAGCGCCCTTTATATAAGGCCCCAACGCGGCTGTTTCCTCTGCTAACTTGCTCGTTTGGTTTGTTTCAGCGTTTTGTTTCGTTGTTTTCGCTTCTTTTACTCTCTGCTAGGACTCCCCACCCAGTGGTATTTCACAGCGTTTTAATGGCCTCTGGTTTCGCGAAGGCGTGTGACAGACTTTTTTTAATGTTTATTTGTCATGGTGCTAGCTATCAACTTCCAAAATTACGTGCTTTCGAGTTGCAGTTGATCTTTCAGTGCGAATGGCTGATACGATACGCACTCCTTATGTGTGGAGCCCCATAAGTCAATGGCAAGTTGAATAAAAAAGTTTCTCGATTTTTGTAGCATTTTGTGCGTGTTTTTACTGCGTGGTGCTGTGTGGTGTGTGCGTTTTTTTTTTCTTTTTTTTCATGGTAGACAACCGTTGCCCTGCTAAGCAAGAGTGAACGGGTTCAGTTTCCGGCCGCATAATGTCTGCAATACGTTAAGGGCAAAATAAAATAACCATCTAGCAAGTACTGAACTGCTACTAGACACGATGCGCTTATTACCATGCGAAAACACTGTTCTTCATGCGCATTATGTTGCATGTAGCACAATGTGGCAGTTGGCTTTTTGCCATTGAAAAACAGTTGTTCTTATAGTAGTTTCAATAATCCGGCCTTTTTTTTTCTTTCAATGACGCAGGAAACCAATTCAGCTGTGACTGTCGGATCGCTTGGATGCTGCACCTGGAGAACGTCACCCGCAGCGACAAATTTCGCCGGGAACTGCGTCACGTCAAGTGCGACTTTGACGTTGCCGACGGTGCTCCGACTGCCAAGCCGGGTAGCGGAAGTTCTTCCAAGGTGGCCAGACTGAGCTTAAAGCAACTAGGCTGCCGCGAAGATTACAAGCATCCCAGTTTGAGTGGTCCCCACGGTGTTTCCCCATCCTCCCCATTCCCGAACCCTGACAGCCGCGATTACGAAGATTTGGATGATGATAACGATGGTGCTGAGCCGACTGCGGCCGGCAAGCTTGACAACGTAGGTAGCGTAACCAACATAGGCCAAGACATTGCTGAATCGATTCCTACAGTAGCGCTACCCGCATCCGGTACTCGGGGAGAAAAAGAAGAGGCTGCAGAAGACGTCAGCGGGGACATCCCTATTTCCAAAAACGACATCGACACGGTTCTCAGCCAACAGAAGGCACTCGAGAAGTCAGAACCTCCACGCAAGCCTAAGCCTCGTCCTGAAGGCGTGAACAGCGGAGCCTTTAGCGACTTCCAAGGGCCAAGTTCTGCCGGCATAATTGTGACGTCATTCATCACCATGGCGATATCGATGGACAGATGATGAGCAGGTAATCTCAAAGAAATCGCGGACATGTGTTACACGAGACGCAAGCGGTTTTCGAAACATCCAAGTCAGTTTCCTTGTTTGCTTCCCTGCTGCCGTCTATAATGGTCGTACTACGGCAGCACTTCGTGCGGTGCGTCGAATGTGGTGCGCTAGCCTATACACACCACTGACAGGGTGTGTAGAACTGTGATTTCTTGTAGTCGATTGCTGCTTTTGTGTTATTCAGCGTGCGAGCAACTGCACATTGTGTTACGATGAGTCTTGGTGCATCTGGTCGTTCATGAGGGAGTGAGAAAAAATACATAAGGATGTGAGAGCATTGAAAGGAATGCATCCTCAGTCGCGGAATCTGACTAGCGAACGTGGACATAAGTACAGATATTTTGAACTGCGTTAAGTACATTCGGGTTGGTATATATTATTTCAGCGAATATACCTTTGTTTTAGCTGATTTGAGAGAGTATTCAATATGTGCTTCTTTTACAGCAGCTATATGAGCATTACCTCATTCACTTTTATTCTGTCTCCCGCGAATATTCATGAAACAACGTTTTAACTAAGTCTCCACGGCAATATTTCGTATGTAAGCAAGTGTTCCTGAGTGTTTAAAGCCTTGTTCTTGATAGGCTTCGTTCTGTACAAGCATTGCTTATGAATAATACCGTGTGTTTCACGTCCCAAAACCACGATACGATTAATGAGGGACGCCGTAGTGGAGGGCTCCAGAAGTTCTGGCCACCTGGTGTTCTTTTATCGTGCACTCACATCGAACAGAACACGGACCTCGACCACTTCGGCTCCACCAAAACGCGACCACCGTGCCCGAAATCGAACCTAGCACCGGAACCGAGCACCGCAGCCGATCCCTGTAACCGCAACGCCACCGCGCTGCGCCATTGCGTATTTGCAGGAGTCATGTAGCCCTCGAGATAGGCAAAGTTTGAAGCGTTCAGTGAAAATGCTTCAATCGCGTGGCAAAAAGGTGTCCTCACAACGCAAGGCTTTTTGACCTTATCAGTTTTTCAGGAACTGCGACATGCATGTGTCAAATACGATGGCGGCCTATGATGCCCCTGTCCGAGAAGCCACTGTTAATTTTGTGTACAGTGCTACATTAGGCTTTGAGCCCTTATGCTTATTCTTTATTTTCTAAAATGTAATTGTTTTTTTCGTGTGCGATAAGAATGGCGTTACCAAGTGTTGAAATCCACGTTAGAGCACACATAATGTCAGCGTCTGCGAGCAAACCTATCCATGTTTTTTTTTTTCTTTTTTCAAACGTTGGTAGAAGATTGACCTTTAACAAACCAGTGGCGTCTGGAGCTACCGACGAGAGCAGTGGTAACCAGATGGTGTCATTTCGGGGCACTTTTCATTCCTCATCATGACTGCAGGAAAATGCCCCTGACAAAAAGCATAAGTGTTCATACTGTAGAGATTGTATTACTATAGCAGCAAAATTAGCCGGGGGGGGGGGTGCATTAAGACACCTTTCTATATAGCTTAAGATCCACATAGGCCTCGTTTACTTGAGTGCACCACATGTTGCGCTACGTAGAGCGTAGCGCATCTCTGCATATTTGTTGCTACTGTGGCTGTAACGTCCAGTGTCCAAATGTTCATTTCACAGAACACTCCAGGTCATGACAATGTGTCGAAACCTGCCTCCACAACCCCAGTCACATATTTTCATTTGTATCGGTTGACACATTCATGAGAGAAAGAGAGGGAAATCACAAGGAGAAAGGCAGGGAGGTTAACTAGGGCTGAGCCGCGGTAGGCTACCCTGCACTGGGGAAGAGTAGAGTGGAAGGAGAGTTATAGAGGAGGAGAGAAAGGGTCACTGACTGGGCCGACGCGTAACAGTTTCACCATCACAAACGATGAAACAGGCCGGTGTCTTTGAGAAAATGCAACAGTGCTTTCGTTGCCTTTCGGAAATTGGATGGGCAGTGCCATGGTTCCAATACTTTCTCGACAGTGAAATCACTTCTGTCCAGTTGATTTAAGACACTGCGCAGTTGGAGCCTCTCGTTTGTGTATGCCGGGCAGTAACAAAAGACGTGTTCAATAGTCTCATCAACGGCGCAGTCGTTGCACTCTGCGCTGTCGGCCATCCCTATCTTAAATGAGTATATAGGCATTGGTGAAGGCTACTCCCAACACATTCATGACCGTTCATTGTTGCAATGCCCTCAAAACATATAACCACCCTGCAAGCAACCTGCGTTTTCTCCCACCATCTACGTATAAGGTGCATCATTACGCTTAGTAGTCTGTGTCCGTTTTAAAAGGACGTTAAAGAGCAAATCATTTTTCTCGCGTTAGTAAACTACTCTTTCACGATACCGAAAAAAAACCACGCTTACTGAGAGAATAAGTTTAGTAAGCAAAAAAAAAACGTCAAAAAATGTTGATGGTGACTCCACGATGTTTCCGCACCATTTACCGTGATGTCACATATTTGAACGGCACCTACTAAGGTTTACGCAGTTCCTAATCGGTAAGAATGACGTTGACTTTGCCATTGACTTAGCGCACAAAGTTTCAGGAAATTTTGTGTGCACCAAGGTGCCTGAAGTTCAGTTGTAAACTAGTGCCGTAACGTGTGGGAATGTCAGCGCGAAATTGAAAAATGATACAACTTGGTTATCTGCTTAATTGATAAACCTGCTATAGTGAATTTGCCCGTGTTAGAGTCCTCAGAGTGCATGCCATCAATTTAAACCAATTAGTTTGTTTTCTCTTTAGCGTCCCTTTAAGCTCCCAGCTGCGACATAAGTGTCTCTCGCAAAGTGCAGCTGCGGCCCATGCACCCCTTGTTACTGTAATCACCGTTGCTTGATCAACAGACAGTGCACTCTAAGTATCTGTTGTATTTTGGTTGAGGCTTTCTGTTAACGCCGTGATTGTGCACAATCGTGAACTAGTACAGATTATACACGTAGGTTCTCCGTAATTATGCGTCACTGTTCAATATGGTGTTACATATTCAGATTTCTAGTTTTAAAATGCGCATTATGAAACACGTTTTCGCTGACTGTATACTTCAGTGCAATGTCTGCATCAGTGTTTGAAACGTCGAAGCACACTTGTCCATTCATTCAATAAACAATATAAAGAAAGGTATATAATACTGTCGTCTTTCAGTCGTAGTGTTCAGGTCGGTTTCAGTAACCTCTTTCGCGTATGTATTGTATGGGTGTTGTTAGTTGTGCTGATGCTGTTTTTCGTGTTGCTGTTGTTAATACCGCAGAGCACCTGCATTACGATTCCGCGGAGTGAAGAGTTGCAGGCTTAGCTTGCTTAGTAATAATTACCTTCAGAGAACAAATCTTCACTCGAAAGCGGTAATTTATATGCGGTCAATACAATTTTACGGGATAAAATAGGAAGATGTTTGAGTGTCGTTCAATCAAGATATGAAAAACAATTATTTTGTCCGCCGTACGAACATAATACAACTTAACAACAGCAACAAAAAGTTGGCAATGTATCTGCGTGCTTATTTATATTTATTTATTTGATACTGTCAACTTCGTGCTTGGGTTCATTACAGGGAGGGTGTTACATAATACATAAATTTGACACAAAGCAACATTCAATAGCACATAGGAATAACAGATGAATAATCATCATCAGGAAAAGAAGAGAGAGAGAGTTAAAGATCCAAGGAAAGGCTGGGAGGTTAACCAGACGCGCATCCAGTTTGCTACCCTGCACTGGGGAAGGGATGAAGGGGAGAAAAGAGGTTGCAGAGAGATAAGAAGGTGCGCACAATTACGAGCACACTCAGGGGAGCACACACAGCTTACAGGTGGTCACTCAGGTTTGTTGTCTTCAAGCAAAGTAGGAGTGCTTTAGTCGCTTTCTGCGTAATTGAGGCAGACGCCCAAGGTCCCAGAATCTTTTGCACACAGAGTGGTCTAGAGTCCAAAAAACAGACATTAGTGACTATGACTATGTGGATTACGAATCGAGAAACAGATGCTGGCGACAGAAGTTAGCAATTATCACTGCAGGGAAGGCTGTCTAACGCATCTTTAAAGTTGAATGACGTCGTTTGTTGCACAACCGAATCAGGTAAGCTATTCCACATTTCTATTGCGTCTCTGGCAAAGATCGTAGGAAGACGATAGCCTTCGGTGTGGAGAGAGGGAAACATTTATTTGACATTCTGCGCAAGAAAGTTGGTGAGTAGGCTCTGCGTGAGATATGGACGCTATCTGGCACTAACTTCAAGAAACGGGAGTGTTTCCAGAACGCAGAGCCCTTGGTTGGTGGCAACACCCTGTCGTTTTAATGAAGCGTATAGAGAACAGCCGCTTTTTCGTTCATAGCGTCGCATGATTAACGCAGCGTAATAAACTCTGCGGCCTTTAGAATAACGTATCTATGCATAGTGATGACCAAGAATGACATTGGCGCTTTGGCACGCATGTGCGACTGGAGCAGCAGAAGAAGACGAAGAGAAACACGGCCATTTTCTGCCCTGTTTCCCAGAATGTCGCTAGACGAAGGCAAACGTTCCGGTATTCGGCGAGCATGGCGATGTGATCAAAGCCGCCCACCAGATGATAATAATAATAATAATAATAATAATAATAATAATAATAATAATAATAATAATAATAATAATAATAATAATAATAATAATAATAATAATAATAATAATAATAATAATAATAATAATAATGGCGATGGCTATGATGATGATAATAATAATAGTAATAATAATATACTTTAATGTAATTTTATCAAAAGTAGTACACATATCAGGCCTACCATAGCCACATGGGTCTTGAGTGGCAGTGCCTGGCAGCAGCGGAAAAGAGCCATCTTTGAAGTTAAACATTTGCTTATATTACAAAATGAAATAAAATAGGAATGGCACAGGAAAGCGAACAACCACTTCACTTACAAAGATAAGTAAATCATTCAACTAAGAATGATTCGTTAATTTATGTTTAGTCCGGATGCGCAGAACACAAGTCGGAGGCAACTTATTGAAGTGCAGAGAAACGTAACAGTCTCGTATTATTTTGCCTCTGTACTAGAAAAGGGTCCTTGGGACGTGGACGACGTAGAGGAACATACTTGGTTTTGAAACTGTTGTTCGAAAAGTACCTAAGTCCTACACTTTTCATTAGTAAGTGAGTAAAGTCCGGCATACATAAGGTTTTCAAAACATCATTTTTGGTATTGAGGTTGAGGTCAATGCTAATATTTTTTAGCCCATGACGACTAATAGAGTTTACCCTCATTTGCCAGCTTGCCTGACAGATACTGAAAGATCTCCAAGTATAGGCACAGCGTGACCGGCACCGACCCCAGCCACATTTCCGGGACCAATTCGCAACGTGGCCGCGTCCGGCCACTGCGAAACAGCAGTGCCACCCACCGGAGGCTCGCAGTCATGGCCGAGTGTGATGACCAAGATTGACACCGGTGCTTTGGCACGCATTCAAGACTAGAGAAGCAGAGAAAGACGAAGATGCAGAATAATAACAGCTGGCCTGGAAGACAGGCGTTGTGTCTTGCTCTCTTCATTACAGCATTTTAGAAATTAAGCAGCATGACGATAATATGTAGGTTCTTAATGACGCAAAGGTCATGCTTGGCCAAAGAGCGCCATGAACAATGATGAGCGAAGAGTAATGGTACATTATTGAAATTATATGATGAGCACATGAGCAATGGTACTGTTGCGCAGCTGTAAAGGGGCATAAAATTCCGCGCCCTGAGGCGGTTAAAAGTAAAAAATATAAAATCGTGGTGATGATGTGAAATGTGTGGAGCTGGAATAAATGACAGTATTGGTGGTGAGGGCTGCTGGGGCCAAAACTCGAATAAGCAACACACTACATGACACTTACGTATTGTCGTTTACCTAAAATATGGGTAATATTTGTTTTTTTAACTGACAATGTTTCAAGTATAAAAGCAGCAAGTATATCAAGGTGGTTGAACATTGAGAAGGTGCTTAAACTTTCGCCGCGTGGCTGAATCGTGCGTGCAACTGCACGATGAACATAAAGACAAGAAGACCAACACTCTTGCGTTGAAATATCCTTAGATAAGGCTATTACCTTTGAAAAAGACAGATTGAAAAGACGAGCAAGCTCACGACAA